TGTGTGTGTGTGTATATATATATATGGTTTTAAAAACATAAAAAGTAACAAGCTTTATTTAACTGAAGAGGAATCTCATCTTGTTGCAAAAAATACCTTGGCAGCTGGGGGCAGGGAGGAATCTTGTCAGATCTAAGAAAACAGGAAATGCCCCCTCCTAGAAGAAATCACTCCTTCCTTTTTGATGGGGGGAGGATAGAGTCTCACTCTGTCACCAGGCTGGACTGCAGAAGAGCGATCTCAGGTCACTGCAACCTTCTCCTGCCAGGTTCAAGTGATTCTTCTGCCTCAGCCTCCCAAGTAGCTGGGACTACAGTGGCACACCACCATGCCCAGCTAAATTTTGTATTTTGGTACAGGAGAGGTTTCACCTTGTTGGCTAGGATGGTCTTGATCAATTTCCAATGCAGATGTCAAAGAGCAAGGTACCCATGTCTATTAACATGAGAACATGTAAAGTTTCACAAGTGGCAGGATCAAATTTCAAAGTAAGATATTTACTGGAACACAAAGAAGAAAGCAACAGGCACTGGCACTGGGGTCTACTTGCAGATGGAGGGTGGGAAAGAAAAGAGGAGCAGGAAAAATAACCATTAAGTGCCCGTCACGGTGGTTCACGCATGTAATCCCAGAACTTTGGGAGGCCAGGGTGGGTGATTCACTTGAGACCAGGAGCTCAAGACCAGTCCGGTCAACATGCTAAAATGTTGCCTCAAGCAATAGTACAAAAATTAGCCAATACTGGTGACAGGCACCTGTAATCCAAGCTACTGGGGAGGCTGACGCAGAAGAAATCACTTGAACCCGGGAGGCAGAGGTTGTGGTGAGCCGAGATCATGCCATTGTACTCCACCCTAGGCAACAAGAGCAGAACTCAGTCTCAAAAAAATAAATAGCCAGGCATGGTTGCTCATGCCTGTAATCCAAACACTTTGGGAGGTCAAAGCGGTGGAACAGGAGGTCAGGAGTTTATGACCAGTGTGGCCAAGATGGTAAAACCCCTTCTCTACTACAAATACAAAAA